TATCTATGGGAATAGGTTTGGCTGTGTCAAGCCCACTACATGGTTAGCGATTCGTGTTGCTCTTTCAGGGGTGACCGTCTCAAAGTCTGATCATAGGGTTTACATTCGTAATTGTTGGAGTTCAATTGGTGTCAGTTTTATTTTCCCATTGTCTGATGTAATGATCCCGAATCTTTTTTATATGAATAGAAGCTTGTTTTTATGATAAAAAAAATTAAGATTGTTCGAGTATATTTTGAGGAAATATTTTTGACAAATGAACATATAATATAATGAAGTCACTGATAATAATTGTAATATTATGTATAGTGTAATTTTTAATATTTGATGATTAAATTATCTCTTAACAATGCTCCGAAATTTCTACCACAAAGTTTTTCAATTTTTTCATTTTTAAATTACCAAAGTGTGCCTTCATTTCTTCACCACAAAGTTTTTCAATTTTTTCATTTTTAAATTACTAAAGTTTACCTTCATTTCTTTTCTTTTCTTTTGTGCCTAATCATTCATGTCTCCCCAGAGGTGGAGTTTAAACTATTCTTTTAGCCTCACATGCGATTCATATGCAAAAAAAAAAAACAACAATAATACAATTAAACAGCATGCTTATAAAAAACAGTTCCATCTTCACGAGCCTATCATTATTCCTTCCCCTGCACTTAATTAAGCACCTCTATTCCCTTTACAAATTTACCGTCAAGAAGCATTCTTACTTCATGATCAAACTTAAACTTCAACTGAGATCATTTGAGCTAAGTATATTAGCCCTATCCAATCCCACTTGGAGATATTCGTAGTTATTTTGTTACTAGTTGACCACTCAGCATAGTTAAAGACATCAATGATATATTGAAATGATGAAGATGTTTATTTATCATGTAGTAAGTAATACTCCGTATGAGTTAAGAGAGTAATAATTTCTGTCTCACAAAACTTTGTCAAAAATTTTATTTGGTCATTTCAAAAAATTGTCACTTTTGTTTAGAATAATAAATAATTCGTTAACGTAATTTCTCTTCTTTATTTCTATGCACAAAACTTAATTATTATATATATTCTACGTGCAAGTTAACTTTGACTAAATTTGTCATGGAGTAGAATTTTTGTTTGTGCTACTCAAATACATTGATTTATTATGGTTATTAAAGGCATCATTGGCATGTCATTGCTACTATACATTAAAAAATCAAATAAATTTAAAAATACAAAACTCTTACTTAACAGTGATACTTCAAATAATAAGATTTTTCTTCAACAATCTAAAATAATTACAATCTCAAATAGTTTGGATTAAAATACTGACATTAGATTTTCTTTTCAAACAGTTCCTTCTTCTCAATGTCATGATTGATCCCAAAATAATCCTACTTAATGAGCATGTTAGTGATGGATGGTATCGAGAAACCTAAGGACATGCACGTTTACTTCACAGGTTATTAAATGGCGTTTATTAGAACTTGTGTTAATAAGTAGCGCATAACATAAGCAGTGTTATAAGCTCAAGTTTAGTTCACATGATTTTTTAAAGGGATCAATACACAAGATTTAAAATAATGTTTAACATTAAAATGTCCAAAATAACCCTATATATAGACACACAAACATTCATGTACACAAGTATATGTATAATATGTGGGGACGTACCCCCTACCTCTACTCCCCTACCACCTTGTACGCATACAGCGTACGCATTAATCCCCTACCCCTCCTATAGGTTGTGGGTGGGGGTAGGGGTGGGTACAAGCACTGGGTAGAGGTAGGGGTAGGGGAGGGGGCCGAGTAGTGTAGGTAGAGGGGTAGGGTAAGGGTACCATATCGTACGGGTAGGGGGTAGGGTAGGGATAACAGTAAGGGGGGAAAGGTATGGGTAAAGGTATATTTACAAACCAAAAAAACTCAAAGTGCTGCTTAATTAATACATGGAGGTGATATATGATTAGTAAACGGCCCCTTAAGCACCTATTTCGGTTAGTAAGAAAGTTTTTAAGTAACATGTGTGTTTACTTTAACTGTCTTACTAATTTTACTGTGACTTAGCAGCGAAATAAACACGTCTTAAGTTCTCATAGTAGAAGTAACCGATTGCTTAGAACATCTCTTTTTGCCTGATGCGACAAAACGTTGGAGAAGTAAATCATACTATAAATCTGAAATAGTACAACTAGAGGTTAATTTGCTAATTTGGCCTTACCAATTTAAACTTTCATGCATAACTTGAAAATCATGTCATAATAACAAGTTCACATTCCATAAAAAAATTAACAAGTTCACATTATAAGTTCACCAAATAACCAATCCCAATTGTCTAATCCATGGCACCTCTTGTATAGCTTGTACGGAGGATAACACATTCTTTGCTTTTGCATTTCTCTTACACTTAGCTTGTACGGAGTATATGGGCCTATATACTCCGTACAAAATCAACAAAGTCCGTAAAAGCTCTACTACACTTTACGACTTAGCACAGTATGATGTATGCCTGTTTATGATATTGGCAATTAAAGTCAAATGTACAGTACTACAATTTTGAAAAGACTGAGTTCATATTGAATAAATCAAAATATTGTAACATACACCAGACAAAACTTCATTATTAGTCACCGGATTTGCTCATAGATCGTATAATAATGATGTTGAAACGCAGACAATAACATTAGGCATGGTCCTGGACCGACCGTTCCCGGGACCAATTATACCGATTCAGTTAGGAGGCCGGCCCAGGGGTTCGCGGGGACTGTTCCCAGGCTGCATTTTTTTAGACCGAGACCGGCTAGTCCAGTTAGTTTTTTCTTTTTTGCATTCCAAGGACCAGAAACATTTTTTTAGTCCGGAACATGAATATGTGGTTCTGATCTCGGTTTACCCCACCCTCACTACCATGACCGGCCGTTTCAGAATTGCAACTGGCTTCAAACTGGACCGGATCCATGCCGGCCTAAGTACAGAAGATTTAACTTTAGCATTAGTTAACAAAAAATGTTGACTTTACATTTCAATTTGAGACGGGGTATAACTGTTCGATCGATTCTGGGGGCTTTCAGGGATGGGAAGTCATCTTTTCTGAAATGGGGGGGGGGGGGGGGGGGGGCAAAGCCCAACTAGTCCACTCCTAAATCATACTATTATTATCCTCCGTATCATAATAGTTGCAACATTAGAAATTACACATTATTCATGTATTTACTTTGACTACATTTAATTTACTAATGTATGTAAATTATTATTTTTTCAAAAATATTGTTAAATTCATCTCATTACTAAGTTTCATAATCTAATTTTTAAAAGTTGTTTAGAAATTGAGAATTAAATATAATGACGGTCAAAGTTGTGCATCGGCAAGCGAGAAAAAAAGAAATGTTGCAACTAAAAAAGAACGGAGGAAGTAAGTAGTATGACTTTGGTCTATAAATTTATTATCAAACAAATACGTAGTACTCCCTCCATCCCCATTTAAACGTCCTTATTTACCATATTGGGATGTCCCTATTTAATTGTCTCATACCTTATTTGGTAAAGTTTGTGTGACTAAAATCATTCTTACTTTATTTTTTACATTATCAATTAATATCAACCACAAAAATCCATTTTTTTTAAAACCCGTGTCACCCTCTTCCGTTCCAATAAAAAAAGGGATGAAGGTAGTACTCCGTATTAGTTTAACCGGGAAATTCTATTTACACAAACAAGATTTTCGTAAATGATAAATTCTTTTCTCCAGTAATTTTGAAACTTCCGCTCACATATCCTCCCGGGTCTGAAGTCTGAACTTTCCGGGATATGCTATCGCATTTCAATTCGAGATTGATCTCCAGCAGATCAGCTGAATCCCGCTGCACAAGATGAGACCGATGAACTCCATCTAGCATTCCATGATTTTCTAAGGTTCCGTTGGCCGAGCGCGGCCATACCCACGAGATTCTCTTTTGCTTAAAAGCCTGGTGCTTGAATCATATTTTTAGTTATTTTCAATTCTTGATGCCCAGTAATGGTCAAAACTTACAAGTTTAGGCGAGTTGCCTTCAGCAAGAGAATTTGCACCTTCTTTATGGAATGGTGACAATGTTGCTTTATAATTTCTTTATTTTGATGTTTTGGAAAATTATTAGCATATGCTCATGTATGAATATATGCAACCATAATGTTTCTAAAGCTTCAATGTGATCTCTATTTTCCCGGCTCCCCCACCCCCTATTGTTACTCCCTCCGTCCTTAAAAGAACTTCCAACTTTTCCTTTTTGTCCATCTAAAAAAGAATTTCATTCCCTTTTTGGCAAAGAATTTGTGTGATGCTTTATGTGGGTTAATAAATATTTTGCAATAAATTAGTAAAGAAAGAAGTTAATTCAGTTGTAATTTAATTAGTTAAAGATAAAGATAAGTAAAAATTGACAAATATTAGATGTAACTCGCGCACATAAATATGTAACTTCATATACTATAAAATGTAATTCCAGAAATTGTTTTGAAACATAATTCACACATGCACAAATGTAATATTTTATCAAATCTAATCAAAATAAATAATTTTTTTTAAATCAAATTCATTTTTCTATATGGGTAAGTTTATTTTATTCGGCCAATGAATGTATTTATGTTATTTTTTATGGATAATAATTTTTTCGAAAGGCATAAACAAATCTGATTGTGGACATTTATCATGATGTGGACAAATCTAGTTGTGGATCATGTTGTTGCAAAGGGAAAGAGAATTGGAGAATGGAGAAGAGGCATGCGGTGTTTGCGTGAGAAAGAAAAAAAAACGACGAAGAAGCAGCAGTAACCGGAGAAGACTAGGTGCTAACCAAAGGAGATGAGGATTCTGAATTGTGAAAAACGGCGTCGTATTGGGACCGGTATACCATGCCCATGGTACCGGTCGCACGGTATAATTTGACCCCTAGTTAACATTATCACTAATGATTAATCATACTACGTATTGTACAAGGACAAGCGACATAATACATATATATAATAAATAAAATTAGTTGACCATAATTTATAGGACACAATAGTCAGGACAAATAATAAACAAAAAGTTAAATAAACAATCAAAGACATTTATCGTGGATCATTACTCATGTTGTTGCACAATAAAGGAAAACATGAAAACATGGACATCATTCCCATTGAGACAGCTAGCTAAGATTCAGAATATTGTTCTAACGTGAACGCTTTGATTTTCATATTAATCCACTAATGAACCAGCCTGTAATAAAATTGGCCCATTGGCTGCTATCATTAGGGGTGCCCTTGGTTGGAGGGTTGGAGAGGACGTGGATAGTGGATGGGAATGGGAATCAAAGTGATGTTTGGAAGTAATGAAAGGTGAATAGTGAAATCAACGAACCCACCTCCCCCACAGGCCACCACCAATCCACCACCAAAAGGTTGGGATCAAAGTACTTCTTTCTCATTCCCCTCTACTACCCCATTCATTCCCATTGTCATGCCGTTCAAACTACCCAACAACCCCTAAGAAGTATAAAAAATGATTGGAAAGAAAACCAACAAACATGTCTACATTACTGTCAAGATTTAATCTTTCCAACTGTCCTTGTTAGACCGTCTAGAAGCTACCACCACTTTGGATGGGCGGCTTGGAGTGACGGGCACGGCGGGAGTTTTTGGTGCTTCTTCATCGTCCCAGTTGTCATCCCAACTCTTGTCCCATCCATCACTTACAGCCACCTCAAGTTTCACTCCACCCGAAATTGGCAGCTCCATATCTAGTTTTCGGTACTTGCCACTGCCCATCTTGGAAACGTGCTTCTTATAATAGTTGATGCATGGCCAAACAGATGCACACAACAGCAATGCCACCAAGAACATTAATGTTGCAGAGGAAGAGAGTGATGGATACTTGAAGTGGGAGACGTGGTCAGCTTCGTTGTCAGCGTTGTGTTCAATTAGATTGCTGAAGTCAAGCTTACATTTACCATCTCCCGCCTCTACAATGATGAAGTTGTCGCTTCCACTGTTCTTGAAGGAAACCTTTATCTGCAATGTGAGAATGACTGATAAAAAAACTACAGATAAAAGTAGTGCTGATAAAATTTATGTAGTTGGAAGATCGAAATGGAGATTTTCAATTACAGAATTTCACGATACTCCAGGAATTTAAATACTCCGTACATATTCTGAGTTCTATGCAGCAAAGAATCGGGGGAAACCAGTACATACAAATCAAGGAGAAACCCTTAGGTAAGCAGATAAGAGAAATATTTCAGAATCAGTACATATTCTCAATTTTAAGGATGTTAAACTTGAGATCCTAACACGGATCGGAAGGGGGCTAGGAGATCGTAACTCAGAAATCGTAAATCGGATCGTAAGATCTTAGAATCAAAGTTACATACAATATACTCCCTACATATACTCTCAATATACACACACACACACATAATGAAATTTAAAACTCTATTTAACTCCCTAATTAATATTAATAATATTTACATCATGTCAAGACCCATTCCACTTGTCTTAAGAACAAGACCAACTTGCCACTGTCAGTCAGAGAGGTGACAACTTTTAGGGATTAAGAAAATCAGGGAATTTTGGATGAAAAGCAGAGGGATAAGTTTCAGAACAGAGAGGAGAAACACAGATGAGATGAAGTGCAAATATAACCTTTTATAAATCGATTCAAACTTCAAACTGACAATCACAATCTTACGCGTAAGACATAGAGCAGGTGGCGCATGGACATCGTAAATCTTCGCAGGTCCTGTCATTCCAGACACCAGGCTCCATTTTTTGTCCAAGGTTGTTAATGATTCGCTAATCGCAGCAGATCGACGATTCTAGCGCTTTCCGATCTTACTCGTTGATCCGGGATCCTAGAGTTATTTCCGATCCTACCGACGATCGAGATCACTCCATCCCCTTCTACTCGTAAGATTGGACGATCTTATGAGTCAAAGTGCGATCCTAACAACCTTGCATATTCTGATTTCAAACAAGTGCAACCATCTTCCTGGTTTCAACTTTCAAGAGAATGATAAAACTTTTCTAACTTCTAATTGTTTCAAGAGAATAGTAAAGCCATCTCAGTGTTTTTCCATAAAGTGGATACTGTACAAGTATTATTGGTAACATAACTCATAAATGGAGTCCATGCAGAAGAAAACTAGTCCAACGTAGCGGAGGAGGGTGGAGTGACTGCACAAATGATGAACCTCATTCTGGTGTAGCCATGGTTGTCAAACTCGCGAGACAACTTGTAGGATCGGACGAGTTTAGTATCCAAAACTAATCTTGCAATCTCAATCTTACCGAGAATCGTAAAATATCAAGGAACGGCTGAATTGCCGCGTAAACTCATACAGGGTCGGCGATTCTTTTGCAATGGCTGAAGAAAAATAAAAATAAAATCTAGGCTACGCAAATCATCAGCGGAAATAGTCTGAACCATCTGGAATTGGTGGAAGACCTTCAAAAATTTGAAAGAAGATGTATGTCACTTCTAATCAATAAATTAGAAGTATTCAGCAATGACTCAAGCGTCACCTTTGAATCCCTTGCTCAGTAGCTACTTATTTCTCTACAACTTCCACTCTTAGGTCAACCGGTCAGTCGACGACCTCCATATCTACAAGTGCACCATGTTGTTTTTTATTCGTTCCTTCCTCCAACAGGTAAATTAGTATGAACTATATTATATATTTAAGTAATTATATATTAATACTTTAATTTATGTACATGTACTAGCATTTTATCCTTCTTACTAAATACGAAGTAATACCCATTATTATAATTTTATTAGTAATAGATTAAATTATTATATCTGTTATAAACTTAAAATAATCCTTACTGTTATAAACTTATAATAATCCTTACGGTTATAAAGTTATTATTATGAAGCAAAATAAAGTAAGATTGTTTGTTTGTTTATTACAAATACAATTTTTTTTTTACTTAGGAGAAGCTGGGAGTGAGCGCAGCCCGTCTTAGAAGATTATCTTCGTAGCGGCCACTTCTCTTTTCCAGCAAGGATGAAGTTCAACATTGCAAATCCGACCACTTCTCTTTGCCAGAAGAAGCTCGGGATTGACGATGAACAAAAACATCGTGCCTTTTATGACAAGAGAATCACTCAAGAAGTCAGTGGTGATGCTTTGGGAGAGGAGTTTAAGGGATATGTATTCATGATCATGGGTGGATGTGACAAACAAGGATTTCCCATGAAGCAAGGAGTATCGACTCCAAACCGTGTCTGCCTTTTACTGCCTAGAGGTACTCCATGTTTCCGGGGTTATGGAAGGCGTGATGGTGAGAGGAGAAGAAAATCAGTACGTGGGTAGCATTGTCAGTCCTTACCTTTCAGTTCTGAATTTGGTCTTGGGTAGCATTGTCAGTCCTTACCTTTCAGTTCTGAATTTGGTCATTGTGAAGAAAGGTGAAAATGACCTTCCTGGTCTGAGCGATGTTGAGAAGCCAAGGATAAGGGGTCCTAAAAGAGCTTCAAAGATTAGGAAGCTCTTCAACCTGTCCAAGGAAGATGATGTCAGGAAGTATGTCAACACGTACCGCAGGACATTTACTAATAAAAAGGGGAAGGAGGTTAGCAAGGCTCCTAAACTACAGAGGCTGGTGACTACATTGACCCTCCAGACAAGAGGGCCATAATTGCTCAGAAAAAGCAAAGGATCGCCAAGGCTAAGACAGAGGCTCAGGAATAATAGAGGTTGCTTGCCAATAGGCTGAAGGAGCAAAGGGAGAGGCACAGTCAGAGTGTGGCCAAGAAGAGGTCCAAACTCTATTACTTCTAAGCCATCTGTTGCTGCTTCTTAAGCCACATTGCATTAATGTACCCTTTCTTTTTTGGACTTCTTGGTGCGTTACCTAGTTTTGATGTTTCAAGTTTTTGGAGATTTTTTTAATCAGTTGAGACTTGATACTGCCTTTATTTATATTTAGATTGAAATATTTGGTGCTATTAAAAAGTATATATATAAATATAATTTCTTATTACATTTAATTGATTACTGATGTTATAAATAATTAAAATAGCATAGTTTTCTTAATTCTGTTATTTATTACATATTCAGAAATATTTTCTACCATTATAATAGCTTAATTTTTTAAAAAAATTACTATTATATTTATAATAATATTTCTTCATTCATCGTTATATGTGTTGTAGTGCATTATGCTATCAATACCTAGTTCCGCTGCTATGGGTTCCAAAGCAGTGACATAAAATGCCCCAGCCAAAAGAATGGTATCACTTGAAAATATAGTCATTTTGTTGATGGGAGCAATCAGAAGCTGGAATGTAACTGTTGTAGCAAAATCATTTCGAGAGGTCCTTTTCGAATCAAGCATCAGTTGGCAAGAACCCAAAAAGATGTCTCTACTTGTAAAGCAGATGAAGTGAACCAACTAATGTTGGATATCATTGTCACCGATAAGGTAAAGAAGCAAAGCCATTGAGATGATGATAATGTAGAAGTAGGTGAGAAAAGAAAATTCAATGAAGTAGAAGATCAACCTTCTATTGTTGGCTTAAAAAAGAAAGGAGTTGCCACTCATCATTAATACCATGTACAAGGGAAATCTTAGAGAGGATGCTTTTCAAACCATCTATAGATTTTTCCATAACAATCTATAGCATTCAATGCCGTGTGAAGTGGAGAACTTTTTCTGTGTGAGTTGATCGCAAAGCATGGTCCTGGATTCAAAACGTCATCCTATCATGGCGGAAGTTGTTGTTAAATAGCATATAGAGAAATGGAACAAAACCAGTTGCACTATAATGACCAATGGCCATGATACAAAAAAAAAAGAAATTTGATAAATTTCTTAACGAACAGCCCAAAGAGAACCGTTTTTCAAAAATTTATTGATGCGTCTGATATTGTTAAGTTTGTTAACCAAGTGTCCAAGGTGATGAATGATGTAGTAGAGGATGTTGGTAAGGATAATGTTGTTCAAATTGTTACCGACAATGCATCAAGCTACAATGCTGCTGGAAAAGAGAATAGATGGTATTGGGCACCTTGTGCATCACACTGCATAGACCTCATGCTTTAAAATCATGAGAAGATTCTCATTCATGGAGAGACAACCCCTAGATGTAGAAGAATTACTATCTTTATTTAATATAGGACTGCAATTATTTCTTTGTTACACCACTACACAAATAATAGAGTTTAGCGAGATTGGGCATGACTCGCTTTGCCACATCATATTTAACTTTGGAATGTCGTCATGAGAAAAAAAGTTCATTGATGAGAATGTTCACATCCCAAACATGAAAGTCATCAAGATATGAAAAGACTAGCAATTGGAAAGTTGGTTGAAGATACTGTTTTGGACAAGGAATTTTGGAAGATTATTGTCACGTGTTTGAAGGCTAAACTTACTCTAATTGAAGTGCTTCATTTGGTTGAATCAGAAGAAAAAATCAGCGGGATTCATATATGAATCAAAGGAAAGAAAAAATACAAAAGTGCTTTCAATAGTGTAAACAAAAGGTGCCTAAAATATTATATTACCTCTGTCTCGAAAAGAAGTTCCCATTTTGCTTTTATATATGCCCCAAAAGAAGAGTTATCATTTCTATAAAAGGAACCACTTTTAACCAAAAAGTCACACTACCCTTACTTTTTACCCATTTTTTGCTTGATTTCACATAAGACAAGGTATACTTAGAAAGTCAAAACTAAATCTATTCTTACATAAATATATGTGTAGGTCAAACCGAGAACTTTATTTCGAGACAGAAGGAGTATTTACCTAATTTTTTTGTATTAAAGTAAACTAACTAATTTATTTGTTATTATTCTTTAGTTACTTGCCTTTGTGGTGTGTTATTGATGAAAGATGAAACAAACATCTGCATAAGCCTTTACATGCAGCTGACTACTTGCCTACTTTCTAAACCCTCAGATTCATTACAATCCCAATTTTAAAGCTTATGATACGATTGCATCACGTGTGTGGTAGATGATGCTGAAGTACAAGCAAAGATAGATGTCCAGCTCGATGATTTTAAG